CGAGGGGACCAGCCTGACCCATGAAGGCCGAGGACGGCCCCTTGAAGAGCCTGGGCTGTGAGCGGAGGCTGGACGCGCTGCTGCCGGCTCGGCCCGTGTCCTCCAGGGCCTGCGTGGGGTCGTGGAGACGCCCCTGCTCTGTGGGCCGGTCTGCACACCCGCACCCACCTCGCCACGTCCTCGGGAACCGTGTGTTGATTGAATGACCGACCACCTCACGGCTGAGCAGGGCGGATGGTCGTGTGCACTTCTCCCCTCCCGCCCCGGCTCTGGCCTCCTTGCTGCGGGGCTCGGCCCTCCCTCGGCCTCAGTTTCCTCTCCCACAGGCTGGGGGGTTGGGGGGACCCTTGGAGGACGGCTCTCCACACCAGGCCTGAGGCTCTGCTCAGCCTCCTGGTCCGGGGGCGGGGACGCCTAAGGATGCAGGGAGCAGCTGGTGCCGCACCGGGTGCCAGGAATGCGGGAAAATACAGAACTTTCCTTGGAAGCTGGACCGGAAGGCGGGAGGCGGGAGGCGGGAGGCCGGTCTGGATGTTGGGCCCAGAAGGAACGGCTGCCTGTTCCGGGACAGGACGCAGCACTCTCCCTGCCAAGCGGGAGAGGAAGCAGCGAGGGGGCTCAGAAAGGAAATGTTCTCCCAGTGCGCGCCGCCTCCCCGCTCATGTCCCCTCCTGTCTCGGGTCTTGGCCCAGTCGGTGCCTGGCATGGAGGGTCTCCTGAGGCCCCGGCAGGCGGAGGCGGCGGGTAGCACGGGAGCGGTACAGGCGGGATCCCCCCACACCCACCTCCCAGGCCCGGCAGTGACGCTGTGACAGGGACTGGGTGGGGCCAGAGGCCCTCCGCCTCAGGGACACGCGGCTCGGGCACTGTCACCCCATTTCACAGGTGGAAAGTTGAGGCTCAGGTGACCTAACTAATGTCTCCCAACCAGAAATGGCTGGAGAAGGGCCAGCCTCCATCTGTCCCCTGACCCGCCTGGAGGCCTGCTCTGTGCCAGGCCCACTCTGGGCTCCAGCCACTCCGCCGTGAGCCCAGTCACCCAGCCTGGGAGGCAGCGGGAGCAGGGGGGGCACAGGTCCTGCACTCGGGGACCCCTGGGCCGGGATGAAGTGGGGCTGCCCACCAGCAAGTGCCCT